TAGATTGTGTAGAAATGAGGAGGCTGACGCTTGCTTTTTTAGCCATACTAGGTTACTACCCGAACTTTCGTGCGGGGTAAAATTTGTAAAACTATTTAAGAGATATTTTATAATTTATTAAGTTTTGAAAAATATTTGCGTATCTAAAAATATTTAGTCGAGATTTGAGAAAATTTAAGTATTTTTGTTTTTAATTTAAACTTATACAAAGCGAGATTTACATTTACTTTCGTCTGAGGTTTCGAAAAATAATATTCTTTTTCCGTTTGTATAATATGTGAATCAAAGCTGTTGCAAAATAATAAATACTCGTAGATCTAAAACATAGAAATTATTTTTATTTTCATTAATAAAACAGGTAACTAATTTAATTTATTAAACCAATAAAATTATCAAATTATTTGTGATTGGTTCGATTTAATATAAATAATTTAAATTAAAGTGTTTGGTAATAAAGGTAGCACACAAAAATAAATCAAAAAAAATATTAGAAAAAGGAGATAATGACACCTAAGCTAATGCTTCCTGTTTATTATATGTTAGATACTTTAAAAAAAACACAGATTAACATAAATTTTCTGTCATATTTATTTAAATCGAACTATATAAATTATATATAAAAACCCTAAATATTAATTGCAGATTTTTAAAACATTAAATACAATCTAATATATTATTTGCGAAGTCGGAAACGCATAACAGCGCTTCTTAGAGGGGTTATTTGCCTTCTACCCCTCGTGGGAAAAAACTGCCTTTCCCTTAATGAAAATATTCGGATCTAAAACCGATTGGTTTGTATAAATTCGTTTTCAGTTAGCTTATATAAATTTTTGACCGATTTTCTTTAAATTTATGGGCTTTTTATGATTTTAGTTTGGCACACTATATATACAAACCCTAAAGAAATATGCAACCCTAAATTTTGGTCTCTATAAATACCTTGCACACCTCCAGATTTTTGGCATTGTCTTTTTATTAGAAATTTAGGTTTAGGATTTCTTCAATATAATTTTGCATGTTGGCTGTCGTGCCTGCATTGTAACTTTTGGTTTGGTTTGAAGCTTTGATATGTTTACTCGCTTTTTTACGTATTTAACTACTTGCTCTTCTGAATATAGTTTGGTGATTCCGACTAGAGTTGTGGTGGTGTGTGAGTTGATTGACATGCCGTTGTGTAAGATCCATATCTTTTGTTTATTATTATACATAAAGACCATAATAAGTTTCTAATCAATCGTGTTTTCACTGAAGAGGATCAATTTTGATAGTGGATCGTGTCTTAAATCCAGTTTATTTGAAGCTATAGCTTCTGGTAGTCCTCGAATGGATAGTTGTTACAGCGTCTCTTTTGATTTTATGGTGTTATATTAGTTATATTTTAAACATTGTAAAAGGTTTTTGGATAATATTTTTATTTTATTTTCAGGTATACAGTTTTGGTTTCTACATAATAGAGATATTGGAGGTACCCATTATTTGTTTCTCTAGGTTTTCTGGGTGTTCTTGATTTTATTCTATAAACTAGATGTATATATTGGGTTTAGTCTGTTTGAAATTTACATATACTAAACTGGTTTGTATTTGTTTTTTAAGATCTAATCCTTTTTAAAATCTGTGAATTTTATAGGTGCTAAGTTACGTATGCACCGTAGTTTTGGGTGGGATCGTGGAACTTCTGAATGGTTATTACGTGGGAATCTCCTAGAGTTTGATGGTTAGTTGTAAACTATATTATTGATCATTGGGGTTTAATTTTAAATTCTAAATAAAGAGCATTGTCGTACTGCTGGATATGGTTGTCGTTCGTCACTTTTTTCCTATTGTTTTCTATGTTTAGGTTTAGATTGTTTGTTTAGGTTTAGTGCTGTGGTGTGTGTGTCTCCAGGATTATTCGGTCACAAAGTGCGAGCAATAGCAATCCTTCGAGCCCTCCTCATCCCACTGAGGGTCGATCTCCGCTTGTGTCTTGTTTCTTCGGCATTAGAAGATCGGAATCAGAACATGCGTTCCTAATCTCCGATGACCATACCACTCACTGGAAACAACAGCAAGCCTCTGAATGTGTCTGCAATTCCCACCATCGCCCTTCGGTCTACAGATATAGTACGGTTTTGTCTTTTTCCCATTTAAATTGTTACCATTTTTTTCACTGTTCATGTTTTTTTGATCCTTGGTTCCAAACTCCAGCCCGAGCGTCCTAGAGAGCATGGTAAAGATGGCATCAGGGTCATAAGTGGCTTGAGGAGCAAGCTTCTGCGAGCCCCTTTAAATCTGCCATAACCTGCACGGTACTCTCTCATTTCTGCGTTATTATTTTTATTTATTTTGGCATTATGCTGATTCGGATTTTTCTGGAAAAAATGAAGTATAGACTGTGATTGCAGCCTGACCTCCGTAGGAGGTCTATGTATGAGAGAATGTATGAGGCAAAGGCCAATTTGAGCCCTTTTCACCCCTCCAGAAGCCGCTCCCCAGCTCTCTACAACAGCACAGTACTACTAATACTAATTTCTTTATGATTTACATTCTTTTCATTCAGAACCTAAAACTCGGTTTGTATTTGCAGAATGATCGAGGGAGAGACTACAACCAAAAAAGGTATGAGGCAGAGGGGCCTATTTCTATGTTGATTTGTATTTTTTTTCCTATTCTTTTTAGAGTCTGTGGTATTTTAGAAAGATTTTTAGTCTTCGTTTGTTTTTTTGTATTGGTTTATGGTTTTCAACCTTTTGTAGTCTCGACACAAGATCAGCTAATTTATCGATTTGGTGTTTAATATATTGTTAGATTTTTAATTGATTTTTATTTTGTTGGAATGTTGTTTAAGCGTTGTTGTCGTCGTTTGTATATCTGGTGATTTTTCTGGCTTCTGTATTATGTGATAGATCGATATACGATGTGGAGTGTTGAGCAAGGTATGTTTTGGTTTAATTTACATTTTCTGTATTTTTATGTTTGTGTTTCGTTTATTTCTCGATATTTTTGTTTTTTTACTATTTAGGAAATATGTGTTTATCTTGGGTTTGAGTATGGTATATTAATGTAGTTTCATTGACGCAGTTTTGATCAAATTGGATCTCATATATATCGATTCGATCATGCTATTAGTTAGGGATAGTTCAACCTAGAATAGGTCTCATATATATCGTTTTGGTAATCTTGCTATCTAGGGATGGTATATCTTAAGCCATACTTGTGGATTTAGCTACTGCTAAATCTGATTGTTTGTATGAATAGAATCACCATCAAGAGATCAGGATCATCATTAACAAAACATGAGCCAGCTTTAAATCTGGGTTTTGGATTCAGCACCTGAATGCTTTCAGGAATTAAGGTGGTTCGTTTCATCTTGAATTCTTTTTGATTTGTATCAATGGAATCGACTTTGCGCTACACGATGAATGCGCCAGTCAAGCTCTCCTCTGTTACAACACCGGTCTATGTAACTCTCATTCTCTCCATGTTACTCTTTCAATTTTGTTGCTTCTGTTTCTGATTTGCAATGTGTTTTGAGTTTTCGAGGATGATCCGTACTTTACTCTCTTTCGTTGACGATGGCGGATGGATGATACTCTTTGAGAGGGAAGGGTTTGCGTTGGATTTCATGTGAAAAATTGAAAGCTTGGTAGTTCACTTCAGCGTAACTGTGTTTCTTTTTCGCAGGCTATGATGAGTAACTATGGCAGGAATAAGAGGTTGAGCTTGGTCAGTCAATTTTTGCTCATGATACCAATTTGCTTCATCTTCAAGAACTTTATCATATATGTCTGCCAGATTTCCCTTTAATTCCAACATTTTATTCTTACTCTTTTTTAATTGACATGCTTCACGACCTTTGTGAGTATGAGGCTGAGGAGGAGAGGTCGTGCTTATGACGTGCTTATGAGATTTTGTGATTCTATCACGATATAAATCTTCCTCTTAATTCGTCAGATTTATTACATGAGTAATGTTTTTAAAATTTTGTCAAGTTTCAATTTCACATATTTTTGTTTTGTATTGTAAATTGTAGACGAACTTGGTCAATGAAAATTATGTTTACAAAAAATAGTTTTTCTGGTGGTTCTAGTGTGAAAGCCTCTTTGTTAAGTTTGCATATTGGTTTGTTAAGTTAAGATTGGTTGGTATATATTTTCTCAACCATGTTTGTACTGCAGATTATAGTTTGTTGATGCACTTTTAACTCTGAAGAAATTTCGATTTGGATATGTGATGTTAAAATATTACGTAACTGAATTATTTAGCAAACAAATCTTAGTAAACAGAGCAAAATTATTATGTCAGATGGGCCTTATTGGATTTCAAAATTTATTTATATTCATAAAATACATTTACAAATATATAATAGTCAGAGTCTAAGTATATAATTTTTTGTTATAAATTAAATAGATTAAAACTTTATTCTTTTTCTTTAAATTTAAAGTAAGTTAATTTCTTATTAAAAGAAAACGGATTTAGTATAAAAACAAAAAGAATTTTAATTTAGATTTTTGTTTAATTATTTGTGAAACAAATATGGTAGAAAATAACCATCTGGACAGTAACAAACAAAAAGGTATATGGTTTTATTTTTTTAGTGTTTTAGACGTGTTTGCTTTTGTGAGTTATTGATTTGCACACATAAAATTTGATTTTTATCATGCTTTTACATGTTACTGATGTTTTAATTTTTTTTACTAAATTCACCTCTTAACACAAATAAGTAGACAGTCTTATTCTTATGCCAAGGGTGAATTATTACATCTTTTTGGACAAATTTCATTGTTCTTTTTATTTAATTTGATTTTGGTTAGGTTTCACAAACTCTTGGTTTTATACGTTTAATAATCAGATTTAAACCACAGAAATATTCTTTTATTTTTATATATGAATGGGTTACAATAAAGGCAACTCGGTGATGCTACTGCTCATTGCAAAATCATTCGTTTGTATCCGCAGTTGTCCCAGTTGAACTTCGAGGAGTGCCGTATATATTATTTAACAAACAGAGCTTGAGCAGGTTAGCTACAGCTGTAGGGAAGCCGGAATCCTTAGCCCCTGAAACAGAAAGGAAATTAAACTTCGAAATCGCTAAGATTTGGGTCCGGGTGAATCTGTTAGCGCCACTTCCAAAGAAGATCATCTCTGGTTTCTCAAATGGCCGTGAGGTGGAAATAGATGTTTCTTATCCTTGGCTGCCGTCAAAATGTTCAGAGTGTGGCAAGTATGGTCATGAGGCGATCTAGTGCTCCCGGTTTGTCAATGGGAGGCAGTCATCAGCTAAATCTACTCGCTCTAGGAGCCGTGAATCCTGCGGGACAAGGCGCTCTAGGCCTGGAAGATCTGCTGCAGATCGGCGTAACTTGAAAGTCCCCCAGGAAGTTGATATCCTACAAACCACTCCTCCTGAGACACTCAAGGGTTCCGTGCATCCTCAAGAGGGTGAACCCCGAATGCTTGAGGTAGATCGGACTCCCGTTTCTGAACCAGAGACAGTGTCGGAACGTATAAATGGTGGTGTTCCTGCTTCTGTAGCTTCCACCATTGCCGCTACGAAAGCTGGTATTCAGGGAACAGCTCGGCAGGATTGAAAGGCCTTGCGAGCACAACAGATCATTTCTATTGACAGAGAGGCAGGTCCCTCAACAGTCATAGTGCTCCATAAGGATTTAGCCCCTCACGCGACTCAAGCAGAGAAGTCGGATGAATCTTCAGACGCTCCCTTCTTCCTGGTCTCCAACCGGAAGAGTGGCCGCAAGGCCACGACAGACTAGAAAATTTCATCATCTTTTTTGCGTGGAATATAAGAGGACTGAATAGTATAACACGCCACACCATGGTCAAAGAGTGGATTAGTAGCCATCGACCTCTTTTTGGAGCGTTCTTAGAAACGCATGTACAGCCTTCGAATTCAAGTCGTATTTCTAGAGCAATCCCGTCGGGATGGTCCTTTTTTGCTAATTTTGATCATCATGAAACAGCAAGGATAGTGGTGGTTTGGGACCCAAGTGTCACCATGACAATCTATCAAGTTTCAGCTCAAGCTATCACTTGTGGTATCTTCATCTTGTCACAGAATATCACTCTGACGGTTACTTTTGTGTATGGCTTTAATCTTGCGAATGAGCGTCGCGCTCTTTGGGATGAGCTCTCTGTGTTGAATGCATCGACTCCTGTCTCACGAGCTCCTTGGGCGGTCCTCGGCGACTTCAATCAAATTCTCCGAGCAAACCAGCATTCAAACCACCTCGACTTGGAAGTGGATTCTGCTGGAATGGAGGAGTTTAATCTCGCTACTCAAGAGGCTGAAGTTTTTGAAGCCCAAGCTAAGGGTTTACCCTTCTCTTGGTGGAATAATCAGGAAGGAAATCCCATCGCTAAAAAAATCGACCATGCTCTTATAAATCAGCAGTGGGCTATGTTATTTCCCGATGCTTACTCGGAGTTTATGGAGCCACACCAGTCTGACCATGCTCCATGTCTTTTTCGTATGTCGGGTTTCCATCAACGGATATCAAAGCCTTTCAAGTTTTTTCACCACATCATTGATCATCCTCTTTACACTAAAACAGTTCGGGAGGCTTGGAGATGTGACGTCATTCAAGGCTCTGCTCAGTTTAAGCTTATGCGATCGCTGAAGCTTCTAAAAATGGATCTCAGGGGACTAAACAAGAGATACTATAGTGGCATCTCTGCAAGAGTCAAGGATCAGGCAGCGAAGGTGGCCGGGCTCCAGAGATTGCTCCTCTCTAATCCATCTGCAACTTCAGCGCACCTTGAGCATCAAGAGAGAGCAAAATGGCAGGTTTTGGCTTCTGCTGAAGCAAAATTCTATCGTCAGAGATCCAGAGTCCAATGGATGCATCTTGGAGATCGGGACACTGCCTTTTACCATAAAATGGTTGTTCAAAGATCTGTGAGAAATCACATCCACTTTCTAAGGGATGTAGACGACCGTTTGATTGGTTCGACTGAGGAAATCAAATCTCACTCCGCAGATTACTTTCAGAATATACTAGGTCATACGAACATGCCGGACTCCCCAGCCTTAGTTGCTCTTCTCCAGGAACTGCTTTCTTTTAGATGCTCGGAGACTCAGACACAGGACCTACAAAAGGCTGTTTCAGATGAGGAAATTATGAAAACGGTCTTTGCACTTCCGCTCAATAAGAGCCCTGGACCCGATGGATACTCTGTGGAATTTCTGAGGGCTTCATGGTCGGTTGTTGGTGCGGATGTGTTAGCTGCGGTCAAGGAATTTTTTTAGAAATGGTAGGCTCCTTAAAGATCTCAACAACACAGCCATTGCTCTGATCCCTAAATTTCCGGAAGCTTGCAAGCTTGGAGACTACCGTCCAATCAGTTGCTGCAATACTATCTACAAAATCATCTCCAAGATTATAGCCAATCGACTTAAGCCTGTTCTTATGGATTGCATCAGCCCGAATCAAGCCGCTTTCCTAAAAGACAGAAGTCTTAGTGAAAATGTATTGCTGTCGTCGGAGCTAGTCAGGCATTACAACAAATCGACGTGCCCCAAAAGCTCAATGCTGAAAGTGGATATCCGTAAGGCTTTTGACACTGTGTGCTGGGATTTTGTACTCAACCTACTCGAAGCCCAGGGTTTTCCCCCTTTATTCCGAACATGGATCAAGGAGTGCATTTCTTCCCCAAGGTTCTCTGTATCAATTAATAGGGAACTCGCTGTTTTTTTTCAGGGCAAGAAAGGGCTGAGACAAGGTGACTCAATCTCACCCTACCTCTTTATCATGGTTATGGAGACTCTCTCCAAAATGTTGGAACGTGCAGCAGATCAGGGTAAACTCCGACTTCATCCAAACTGCGAGGATCCGAGACTTACTCATCTTCTCTTCGCCGATGATTTGCTTGTTTTTTTCTGATGGATCGAGACACTATCTCTCTGGTATTCAGTCTGTGATGAATGACTTTAAAGAGATCTCTGGTCTTGAAATGAACCCGGCGAAATCTGAGATTTTCTTTGGCGGCTATAATGACAGTGAAGCTAGAGTCTTAAGTGGCATCTCAGGTATCAAAATTGGGGCCTTCCCAACCCGTTACTTGGGTTTGCCGCTGAATCCAGCTAAAATCTCCATGGCAACGCTCCAACCGTTTCTAGAGCGGATCACAAGTAAGCTTCACTCCTGGACCGTTAAGTTATTGTCGTTCGCTGGAAAGATACGATTAATCGCTTCAGTTATCTATGAGATGGTGAATTTTTGGAGCTCGGTTTTTGTGTTGCCAAAGAGTTTCTATGCGAAAGTTGACTCTTTATGCGCTGCATTTCTCTGGAGAAACAAAACGGGATCAGCGGCTGGAGCCCGTGTAGCTTGGAGAGATGTTTGTAAGCTGACGGAGGAAGGTGGGATTGGTATACGGCTGCTGGAGGACTTTCAGTTGGTTTTTCGTTTAAACCAAGTCTGGAACTTCTTCACCAACGCTGGTTCTTTATGGGTCGCTTGGCTTCGAAACCATGTTTTCAGAAGGAAGAGTTTTTGGGCTACTGAAGATTCTTCCCGTCTATCTAAGGCAGTAAGAAGCATGCTTCAGCTCAAACCTCACCTTCTGGATTTCATGAGATGTGACCTTAATAATGGAGAATTGGCTTCCTTCTGGTTTGATTGTTGGACTGATCTAGGGCCATTGATTTCAGTTACTGGGGAATCAGGGCCTCGAAATCTAAAAGTAAGACGTGATGCTCGTGTTATTGAAGCAACAAGGCATGGCGATTGGATATTCCCACCAGCTAGATCAACGCAGATGGAGAATCTCCAAATTGCGCTGTCGGCAATTCCACCACCGCAGGTGGCTCTCGGACGTGATCGCTTCCTGTGGCGCCAAGCCAATAGCTCTTTCGGTTCAAGTTTCTCTACCAGGACGACCTGGGTGTTGAACTATAATCAAAATCTCGTATAAGCTAGTTATATTCACATTAGTTAGTTACTTGATCAAGAGACACAAATACTCTGTTTCAGGTTGTGTCTTTTCTATTAAGAGTCATGTCTCTTCAACACAATGTTTCGTTTAGTATAAATATAGGTCGAGACTCACATTTGTAATTACAACAAGTAACTAAAGTTGTAATACTTTTTCAAGTTATTGAGAAAGACAAAGTTACAACCATTGTTCTTACTCTGTTTTCTTATTCAAAAGTCGAAACAATATACACTTCAACACTGGGAGCATCTTCGAGTTCAAACCCTAACGCTTCCTTGGCATAGGGTCATTTGGTTTAAAGAGCACATACCCCGGAGCTCCTTCGTGGCTTGGTTGGCCCTTTTGCGTAGGCTCCCCACAAGGGATCGACTACGTAGGTGGGGCATGTCCGTCCCGCTTGACTGTGTGCTCTGCTCATCCGGTGTTGAGACGCATCACCATCTCTTCTTCGAATGTGGTTTCTCGACTAGCATCTGGTGTTTCTTCTCCTCCAAAATTTGGGTTAACCCCCCACTGGACCTCCACTCCGCCGCGGCGTGGATTATGCAGGCTCGTCCGCAAACACGATCCAACCCTCAAGCTCTTGCCATCATCAAGCTTATCTTCCAATCATGCATCTACCTGGTGTGGAAGGAGAGGAATGCTCGTATCTTTACCTCTTCTTCGTCTACGCCGGAGAGCTCTCGTGCTGTGCTTGATCGTATGATGCGTGACCGTCTTCTCTCGTTGACACCTTGCTCGCCCTCGTCGCCTTCTTTGCTGGAGTTTTATTTCGCTTGTACCAGGCCTCCGTGAGCTGGGTTTTCGTTGTCTTTTCTGTTCGTCGTAAAACTTTGCTTCTTCTGTAATAAGTTGCCTCGCAACATTGTAAAACTCAGAAAATTGGTTTGAATCTTAACATTTTTACCAAAAAAAAAAAAAAGATCATTCGTTTGTTGCAAACTTCATTAAACATTAAACTTGTGTGTGGTCAAGAGATACTTGTTTAAAGACGTCTTAGTTGTGTATGCTTTGATCATTGGCTGCTCACTCTGTTTCTGTTCTTTGCAACAATACATGTATATGCTTGATTACAATGATTTTCTTTGAATTGGACACTGACTCTTCTATATTCTTAGTCTTATCTAGGTTGCAGGTTGTCCGATCCAGAGGTGAGAAAATAAAATGGAAAAGGAATTTCAAGAAAAGCGTGAAGGTTACAGTGGTGATAATGATGTAAATTATGATTTTTTCAAGCATTGATATCATTTTGTTTATTAATAAGTAAGCTTATTTCATTTTGTTTCTTATTAGTTACGTTCTTACGGAGAACCAATCATATCTTTCTTATATGGTTTCTCTTTGCAATATTTCATCGAAATTATGTATGTTAATTTCAAAATTTGGATCAAATAGTAAACGTTATTGTTTGTTGGCTTTGATATGATCTCATACAAGATCCTACTGATTTGGCTTCCATTGAGTTATGTTTAGTTACGTTTCCTCTTTTACATATGTTGAGAACTTGTAAAACAGCATAAGTATCTGAAAGATATATCAAATGGGTGAATCAATTTTGAATTAGTGCATAGAAAATTTGAGGTTACTCTATTCCGATATATATGACGATGCTCTGGTAGTAATTCTTTTGTTCTGATTTTCAAAATTTGTTGGTTCTTATTTTTGAAGCACAGTAAGGACAGGAAGCACAGTATATGCAAGACGAATAATAGACAAATAAAGCCTTTAAATTGAATTACTAAAGTTACATGTTCCATGAGTATAATCACCACCATACTGCAAAACACAGCCAGGTTTGTTTGTGTGTGTTTTTTTATTTATTTTGGATTTGATTTAATAGCGTGTATGTAGTTGCTACATTGAAAATATTTGTCAGCCATGTTTGTACTTTAGAGAGTTATCTAAAGGTTTTTGAGTATGTATATTCTTAACGCTTTATCCTTGAGTTATCTAATGGTTTTTTTTCTTCTAACTTTGTTTGGTAGATTGATCAATGATGTGGTTCGTTGAGCAAAGTGTGTGTTTGAGTTTGAATTTCCACGTTCTCTATTTTCGCGCTTTGTGTTTTTTTTATCCACATTTGTGTTAGTTATGGTCTGTTTTTCTTCTCTCTACTTTGTTTTGTATCTTCTTTAAAGAATGAGTCGTGTGGCTTCGCCTTGAATAAGATACGTTTTACCTGATATATTTGGCATGGAGCTTTACAACAAAATTTATGGAGCTCCAATCTTCGATGTTTACTATGACGACGGCGAGTCTATTTTCGATGTTTACGATGGTGAGAATCCAATCACCGATCACTTAGTGGTATCAGGCTTTGAGCATTTTGCAAAAAATAATCACTGATCCAACAACGATCACAGACGTCAGTTTTATGATTGTGTTACGGATGACCTAAGCTTCGCTTTGTCACCAAGGAACCCGAATCATTCAAAGAATTCATTGTGTATTTCATGTTGAAGCCTTTATGGCGCGGCTTTGGGATTATTGGCGTGCCAACTCTGCTCTGACGCGTCCAATCCAAAGCCATGAACAACACCGACGAAGCTCAGCCAAGAAGAACCAGTTTCAGATAGACCATCACCATTACGTGATAAGAAGTTCAGACCAGTGCATGCTTGGTGTTGAACCTTGAGGACAAGGTTCTTTTGAGGATAGGAGTATTGATAAGATTCATATTAAGGAAGAAGATGACGTGGCCAACTCCACGAAGACTAAATCGATTATTTCAAAAGTTTTTGTTATTTTCGTATTGTTTCTTTATTTTAGGGTTGTGTTTTGTTGCCCATGATTTCATGTAATAGTTAGTTTATTCTCTTTTTATTTTGTATTTAAGCATCAGTTTAACTTAAGTGAAGTATGAATAAAAAATTGCAGTATTTTGTTTTTGTCTTTGAGAACCACCGTGTTCTTATCTTTGTTCTTGATCAACATTGATTGAGTTCATAACTGGGACTATTCTATCAGGTGACGTGTTCTGCGATTTAGATATATGTCCACGCTCACAAGATATTATTGTTGGTTATTATTGTTAATTTTTAAACCTTAATAACTTCTCAACTAACCTATGTATGTTCAGCGGCTTTAACATTCAAAATATATATATATATATATATATTGTTAGGTTTTATTTTGATTCGTAAAAAATAAACTCTATCGATTTCTCTATAAAAGTAGTTTGTCAGATTTATGCTCATTCAGCATGGTTGATAAATTTAGTTGTTCTTTGTTTTTTTCTTTGTAGTTAATCGATTTTTTATGTTCTCTTTAATGTTTGACACACGTTTCTGATTATCATGCAGATAGAATTTGTTCGTAGATCAAGTGGAGGCTATACGTACTACACACGCGTTGTTGCTTATTGTCAAGGCATTTGTTTGGGGTCTTAATTAAGTTTTAAAGTCAGTATACTGAAGTATGTGAGACAGTTGCGAATTGATAATTTTTTTTCATAAGTTATATTTTTCGTTGTTGCTGATTGGGATTTCTTAACGGGCATTTTGCTGATTGTTTATTGGACCATTTGGAGTTGGTATTTTGTTTCGTGTATGGGATTGCTTTAAATGTTTTAATTTGTACACAAATACAATGTTGGCCACATTATCCTGCAGTTATTTAAGAGCAAACATGAGAAATTATATTAGCCTAAATGATTGATATTGCACTGTACGCATGATGTTTATATCATGATTAAGTTAGTGTTGGTAACATCGTCTTTTTTTTTTTTTTTTTTTGCTTTGTAGGTGTTAATCTATTGTCATTCAATATACCTAAACCCGGCTTAATATCCTCTAAGTTTTTGGGCTGGATAAGATTTGTCCTGATGCAAGGGAATTAACCTATCCAGAGTTTCCTTCGAAGTGGGTATGGTATCGGGCGTGTCGTCGTTGGAAACCTATGTGTTAGAGTGTGTTGTCGTTTGGTGTACTATCCTGAATCTTTTGGAGAGATCTTTATTTTCGGCTTGAGTTGCTTAGAGTCAGAGGACCGTGTTCTTATGTGAATGTTAGGACAGTCGATTGTGTTGTTTATCCTACTTTTGAAGGGGCATGCAGGGAGTTTGGATTGGTTGATGAGGATGATGAGTATATTGATGCGTTTTGTGAAGCCCGTGGATGGTCCTCAGTTTATTCGTTGCGGAAGATGTACGCTATTTTAATCCATAATGTGTCTATGCTTAGTCCTGTACATGTTTGGAACTCTGTTTGTCATATTCTTTTTCCTTGATTATTTTTGTTGCATTGGCTATGCGCATTTTACTTTATTTCTAGGTTTTGTTATTTTGACAAGCTTAGTTTAATGATAACTCATATTCTACTTTAGTTATGTATGTCTTTGCTTTATTCTCCCTAAAATGTTGAGAATGCAAACATAATATGATTTCTTTTTCTGTTTATCATCGTAACATTATTTACGTCGGAACCCTAGGTCACTACTTAGTCTACATTGAGAAAATTTTAACTGTTATTTTCCCTGTTGATGTTATTATGTACGTTTTTATACTATTTTGTTTAGTCAAATTTTGTAGGTGTAAGATGGTTTGGCTGGAATGGAATGTAACCTAATCGGACTGTATGTTTTCTCTTTTCCAAGGGTCGTGCTTCGTTGCAGTCGTCGGCTCTGGTTCCATTCTCTCGGGTTTTATGGAAGAGGTTAAAGTAGTCGATTCACTAATCAATTCATCATGGGTCTCTTTTGTACAGTTTTAAGGAAGGTATGATTCATGTTAGGGTAATCAAAACCATAAATTTAAAAAGGTTTTTTCAATAGATTGTAAAAAAGGAAAAGTCCCTCTTATTAAAGTAGATATTTATACACGTCGTTGAGATCGTAACTACATGGTGATACTGTTTTTTTTTTCTTTTCCTTTTGCCTCTCAAACTCATGGGTTGATATGATTGTGTCTCTTTTTGCCTCTATCCTTTTCTGCTGATGACCAACTTTGTTTTACTTATTATGGTGTATCTGGTCTGAATAGCAATTGTCTTTTTTTTTACTTGATTGTGTTTTAGAAAAATTTTGGTTCAACATCGAGATGTTTCAGATAGAAATATTTGGTTAATATGTGACGATGTGTTTGAATCTTAGTATCTTTTCTTTGCTTACTTCGACAAATACAATGTCTGTTTAAATTGCTAGGGGACTTTCTTTAGTCTATAGAATCATAATTGTGCCTTCGGATTTTTTCATGCGGAACGATAGTCTTTTTGTTGTTATGTATGTGGGTATATATACCTGAAAAGTTTCAATGTTCTATAATTTTATGTTTCAGATTTGGATATTGTTGAAAGCACTTAATTATATCTCAATATTGTTTTCTATCGTAGAATTTTCACAGAGGTAGAGATTCAATAGAAGTTTAGTTTACTACTACTTCGTTAATGGAAAAACTTTGGCGATTAGAGTGTTGCTATCAAGGAAGTACTTACAAAGGACAATATAAGCAAGAACTAAGACATGATGGCGGGTAATATCTATTATGATAATTATCTTTTTTCTTTCATCCTTCTTATTAATTTGACCTTGCTCTTTTTCTCTTCGTCTCTCTCATCTCTTTTTCGAATTTTTACGATAATCATATAATTCTTCTGCGCTTTATGGTTTGGTATTTGGTTCTTATGATTTTTTGTTTCTAACATAATTTGTAACGTCTCTAATTATTTTTTGTTGTTTGTATTTTCAATAATGTTCGTATAAGTTTGTGGGAGGATAGGGTTTCTGAGATAGTGTATATTGCAGGCCAAGTCATCAAAAGTTGTGCCCCTGATGTTATGAAAGCCATGAGATTGTCGAAGATCAAAAGCTGATGGTTCTTAAATAGGTTTCTTTCGAACACTAATATTAGCAGTATTATCTTTCAATTCCATTTTAAAGATGTTTTTGTTCTGCAATAATGCTTACAGATTTGGTTGGTGCTGTTGAATTGGTTGGCGAACTTGAGTTGGTTAGAGATCATTCATTTGACGCTTTTAAGTCAAAAATAACACCAAAGATTGAGTTTACATTAACAGATGAAACGTAAGTGTTTATTTAGTGTATTATAATAAATGTAATTAGCTTTATGGTATGGAACAATTCAATCTAACATAGTTTAGTGAACGAATGATAATATATTATGCACACGGGAAATTGGCAATTGAATTCAACGACAAATAGTGTTATTGTAATGAACAATTGGTCATTTGTGTTTTAAGTGACTGGTGTGCCGTTATATGCAATGGTACGATGCTAAGATTACCATCTTAAAATTTCTTACCTATTATTCCTATTCAAGCATATACCTGTTGCTCTAAGTAACACTTTTTTGTAGAGGAGTATCATGTTTCTGATCATGTCGGTATCTCGAGAGTTTTGTTCAATCCTGATCTTCAAGAGGCACATGAGTTACGAGATATGTTGTAAGATAACTATATTTTTTTAAAAAATTATTTACAACGTACGATAATGATTAACTGTTGTCATAACTACTATGTTTGTATATGCTTGAATAAGATTGGAGAGAGCGAACAAGAGGATGCCGAGGAAGAAGAAAATTATTTGGATATCGACGATTAGTACAGATTAATAGAACGCAAAATATGTTGTTTAGAAACGTTTTTAGGACTTTTTATACTGCCATTTATTGTTAGTGTAATGTTTATATGGTCACTCATTTTGATTAATTAAACTTCGCTTTGATTTCTTTTTTTATAAACAAACTTAACGAACATTCGATGTCCGCGCCCAGCACGGACCATCACCTAGTTAAAAAATAAATAATTAGAGAAATTTTTATTTGGTAGGAAGAATAAATTATTTAAGTTTTTAACCATTATTAAAATTTAAAAAAATTTAAAATTCTGAGATAATAACACATAAGCCACTAATGCTTCATGTTTAATAATATATGTTAGATTATCAGCGCTAAGGAAATAACTGTTGTCCGCTATTTATAAATCATATATATATAGGCTTTAATTCTTTGCTTTTTTATTCTTCTAGTAATTCGCGCTAATCGATAATTAATCGCCTATGTGGGCTTAGTCGAAATCCAATAATATATTTTCGAAAAAAATTAACCTTAGTAAATATCCTAAATTAATAATTTGTCTCCAATAATATATTTTCTAAAAAACTAACCTTAACAAATGTTCCAAATCAAAAATATATTCGCATCTTGCGAATTTGACCAAGGTTAGTTGGTTCGGCTTCTTTACCAGTTTTTCAATTAAATTTTTAATATTTTAAATACAACAGAAATGATACGAATTAAAAGATGATTGAATACCATAAATTGATTCTATCGGCTGTAAAATACAAATCACAAAGAAAACAATATTAGTGCATGGTATCAAATGGACGAGTCATGAAAGTTTGTGATATGTTTAATTGATCTGAAAGTTCAGCTTTATAGGGAAATTGATCCGCAAAGAAAAGCATTAATGAGTCAAAAAATTCTTTGACATTTAAGAAAAGCTTGATTTGGAAGAAGAGATCTGGACAAAACATTAACAAGTAATGGAGATTGGGTTTCCTCTAATGGTTACCTCTATTTTTAACTTTAAATAGAGAATATTCTTATTATATTCTATTTTTATTTAGTTATTAATTTATTGTAAATCTTTTGATTTTATAAATATTTAAGTTTTATCCATTTATTTTATGTGTTTAACCAAAACTAAATAAAATTATAATTTCATTTAAAACAAAATGTTTTAAAAAATATTTTTTACTACAACACATAAATAGAAAATAACTAATATTATTTTAAGTATCATCAATAGTAGAATTCTTTTACAAATGATCAATTAACAAATTTCAAAGTGAGAAATAAGCTTTTTTTTATTTGTCTATGTTTGAAATAAAAATAGAGTCTCATTGGAGATTTTCTAAGTAAAAGATCTGGACAAAACATTTGAAAATTAAATAAAAAATCCATTTACTATTATTTAAAATTAAAAATTTCATTAAAGATTGACAACTAAACATTGAAAATTAAGTAAAAATCCATTTAATAAAATATTTGACAATGAAATATAAAAATATATTTAGTCAAAATTTGGTAAAGTTAACAACTAAATAAGAAATTTAAGAAAATATTAGCATGCTGAAAATAATAAATGTTTATATTGATAAGAATGTTCTTTTTGTTGAAATGAATGGGTTTTTGAAGATGAAAGATGACGTCTTTTTAAGTTTCTAGTTTCTACAGTATAAATTTCATTCTTATCATCTTTTTATCATCTTTGTAGAAATTATATTGATAAGAAAGAAATTTTGAAGATATCATCGTAAATCAAAAAAATTTGTATGGTATTTTAATATGATCTGTCAATTTATTAAAATGGTATTAAAATCTAAACATTATCTGTCAATTTATTAAAATGGTATTGAAATCTAATCATTCTTCTCAAAATCAACTATAAATAGAACCATCAGTCCTTAGCTAATTCACTCAGTGGTTTACAATATTTTTTTATAATAATTTATACTATAGAAACTATAAACGAAAAATGACATCTTCAAAAATTCATTTTGTTGTTCTTTTGATCATCATTTCTTTTATTGTTAATGTTCAATCCACTCGTAAGTTTTCTTTTTCATACTAAAATATTTGCTTACATTTTATACTATACTTATTTATATTTATGCTCATCTCTAATTTTTACTAAAATCTTATAATAATTATAATAAGCAGGAATTATGGATGCTTCAAGCGATTGTGAATTCAAAGGACCATGTCATAAAAGAGAAGATTGTAACGAACGTTGTGGAGTGGGCAAGCCACCTTTTAAAGCAGCTTTGTGTGAACCTTATGGAAGCCAAGGTCTCGTATGCTGTTGTATCTAAGAATTTACAATCTTATTTGACTAAAATTATGTATGTTTATGCATAACTAAAAGATTTTATCAATAAAATCTTTTACATAATATTATTTATTTATGCATGTTCAATATATTTTATATACTGTGAGAATTAACTAACATTAAAAGACCAGTAGATGTTCATGACTAAATGATTTATTTACAATGATAAATGCAAGATTATGGTTTGTTTATCTATGTAACATTATTTCAATTTTCCTACATTTCTCTTAATACAATCAGAATTTCATAGTTATGTCTATCTCTTTGAGGTTTCGAGTAAAACCTAATTCACTATCAGAGCTCTCCCTAAGCTGAAGAGAGAAATAGAGGAAAAGAGAATAGATAGTGGGCTAGTTAATAGGTTTAATGATTCATTTCAATTTCAGCCTTGAAACATATGCTGATATGCAGTGTTTCATATTGTTAAAAAACATCTCTATAAAACCCAATTTCCACCAATTCAATCTAATACACTTATAAAATTGATGATTGAATTGAGCATAAGTTTATATGATAAGAATGAGATGAGAATGAAAAGTTAAACAAAGAAGAAAACAGAAGGAAAAAATGAAAAATGACATAAAATATCATATAATATAATAGAGATTTTAATTTTTTATTTATGACAATTTTATTTTCATCTATGATACAAAAACAAATATTTTGGTATAGTATAAAACGTATTTTGACTACAAAAAGAATCTACAATTAGTTAAATATGTTTCCTTAACATGTAAATATTATTAGGTGGTTGGCCCGCACACATGTGCATATATGATCTTTTTAATATACATAATTATTTATAACATTTAAGTATTTATTATTTTTCTTATACATTCTATAAATGTTATGTTTATATACATATTCGATGTTAGCATTTAACAACAATCATATAGATAATTCATATCATTTGTACTTTTTAAAACTGATTTATTTTAAAACATTTTATTTTTACCATTTAAAATGACATATAATTGCAAATATAAAGTTATATAAAATAATAACTAAATTTTTATAATATGTTTTGAATATTATCTATATTATGCTTTCTTCCCCTTACACAATATAATCTTGAAAATATATATATTTTAAGTATTTGTTTTTCACTGACTTTTTGCTAATTTAACAAAAATGGGTTCTAACATCTTTACTTTATCATTCGTGCGTACCAACCACCTCACCGCTCTTAGGACAAATAATTTTTTAAAAAAAAAATATAATTTGTCCAATAACTAAAATTAAAATTAGAGTGTATTCAATTTTAACAAAATGCATGCACCATAAATTCGCATATAACTTCGATTTTTGTACAATTAATATATGCATATTTGCGAAAAACTCAAAATATGGCTTTTATGTGGTAAAAGAAAATAAAAAATATATATTTTGTAATATATATATTTATAATATATGGTTGAATTTAAAAAAAAAGCAAATACGTATATATATGCATGTAAGTATGAGTTATAAATAAGTGATTTATAATATTTAGGTGTTGGTTAGTTTTTTATGATATTTTCACAAATGTTATGTTTTTACACGATACAGTTATTGGCGTTTAACAATAATCACGAAAATCATTTTTATCGTTTTGTATTGAATCAAAATTTTTTATCTTTCAGCGTTTTATGATATATGATTTCAAATTAAAAGTTACTTTAAATGTTAACAAAAATTACAAATAATGTTTAAAAAAAAATCAAGATATAATATTTGACTTTATCATGAAAATAAATATAGTATATTGGATAACCTATTATTATTTTTCTTTTTAATAAAAATTATAATAAATATTTGTTATAAAATTTGTGAAATCATATTTTATAAAATTTGATGATAGCTCTCTACTCATCCCTTCATCTAATATTAAGGAATTGGTTTGACGGAGAAAATAAATATCTTATCGTTGGACTGCACCCATGTGTTTATTATAAAATTTGACATGGACGTCCGTTTATTATAAAATTTAGGTACAAATAAAAGATTCTCTCAAACCACGGATCTAAGCTCAACGTCAAGGTCATCTGGTTATGCCTAGTGCTCTATTGTTGAAGTCAGTGGATGAGAAGGAATCTTTCGCGGTGACTGTTTCAGGCTCAACCCAAAACTGCTTTTCTCTGCGAATCTGATTTGGTCAGATGGCACACATAACGTGAGAAGCCACACTGTTGTTTATACTAGTGACTGATGAGGCCACATCCATTCACATCTTTCTGCCATCATCATCACTAAACCACCATTGTTGTTGTTATGTTACTATATATGTGTGCTTTTGTTTAAAGATGCTTGATGTTTGGGAATTCTATGTGTTTCAAGATGAAGAATCTTGATGTTCTTAAATATTTTCAAATAGGTTTTAAATGACAATAGGGAACCCGAGAAAACGCTGGAGCCTGGAGGAGAGACTGTAATTTGGGTTTTACCGTAAATCTTTTACGTTAGGACTCTGTGATTTATATGACCCACCAAAGTCAACAACACAATTTTTGATACACTCTGACTATAACTACAGAAATAAAAAATATATAAATATCTTCTTGTGGACCAGTAAGAAAGTCTATCTTCAAAAATTCTCTGCACGCTCTCTATCTTCAATTATTTTCTACATCCTTCTCTGGTTTGATCAGATCGGTAGATTTCAAAATGGGGAATTGCTTCTCCCTCTCGATATCGTCTGATCAATCGATGAACAAAGTCTGTCAATGGCTAGACGACAAAGGAAGTTATGTTCACAATCTCGAGAAGAATCTTGCAGCCCTCGGGACAACCATCGAAGAGCTCAAAGCTAAGCGAGATGATTTATCAAGAAGGGTCGCAAGAGAGGAAGACAGAGGTCTACAAAGGCTTTCCGAGTTCCAGGTATGGCTTACTAGAGTTGAGACTTTCGAAAGAGAAGTCAACGATTTTCTTAGTGCTAGAGATGCTCAACTTCAAAGGCTCTGCCTTTGTGGGTTTTTCTCTAATAGTTTAATGTCAAGCTATCGTTATGGGAGAAGAGTTTTCTTGACGTTGAAGGAGGTTGAGAAACTTAAAAGTAGAGTTTTCGAAGTGATTGTTGAGCAAGATCAAAGATATGAGGTGGAGGAAAGACAACTTCAACCAATAATTATTGGTCAAAAAGAAATCCTTGAAAAGGCATGGAACCATCTCATGGAAGATGGAGTTGGAGTTATCGGTTTGCATGGTATGGGTGGAGTAGGAAAAACAGAGCTTCTTGCACAACTCAACAATAAGTTTATTGACCTAAGATGTGGATTTGATTTTGTGATTTGGGTTGTGGTGTCTAGAGAGTTACTCGTAGAGAAGATACAAGATGAAATCGCTCGCAAAGTTGGTCTTGTTGGAGAGGAGTGGAAACAAAAAGAGAGTAGCCAAAAGGCCGATGTTATATACAACTACTTAAGGAAAAAGAGATTCGTCTTGTTTTTAGATGACTTGTGGGAGAAGGTAGATTTAGTTGAGATTGGAATCCCATTTCCAACAACACAAAACCGATGTAAACTGGCATTCACCACTCGTTCCAAGGCTGTTTGTGCGTGCATGGGGGTCGAAGATCCAATGGAAGTCAAATGCTTAGCGGAATGACGCATTTGATTTGTTCCAAAAGAAGGTTGGGAAAATAACACTAGGGATCGATCTGGAGATCCCCGAACTTGCAAGAAAGTTACTAAAAAATGTTGTGGCCTGCCACTAGCGCTCAATGTTATAGGCGAGACCATGTCATGCAAGAGAACGGTGCAAGAATGGCTTAGCGCGATAGATGTTTTGACTTCATATCCTATAGATTTTTCTGGCATGGAAGATAAGATCTTGCCGCTTTTGAAGTATAGCTATGATAATCTTGAAGGGGATCATGTCAAATCTTGTCTGCTATATTGCGCTTTATTTCCCGAGGATGATAGAATCCCTAAGGAAAAACTGATAGGTTTATGGATATGCGAAGGATTTTTAGATGGAAGTGAAGGTATAGAAAGAGCCAGACCATAAGAGAATGTAAAGAATGGGCACAACAGATTATTACATTGAGTTTACTACTGGAATCAATCAGTCTGCCGACAATGAGGGACATCAATCTCTCTTGAGAAACCTCGTAACATTCAGGATATAAGCTAACCGATTCCATCAGAATCTGAAGAAAGCCACCACAAAAAGAGCAAAGAATCTCAAATTTTGTCAATTGAAGAAGAAGAAGCAGATGAGAATTGTAAAGAGAATTAGGATTCGCCAAAAAAAAAAAAGAGAATTGGAGAGAGAACACACAAAAACTTGACACGTAAGGGGTTTTTAAAAATTCTAAAACATCTGAACTAAAAATCGATTCTTACCGTGTTTGACATGTGTAAAAGAGGAAACTCTTTCCAGCTGCTTGACACGTTAGCATCTCAAAATTGCCATGTGTTCTTTAAAAAAAAAAAACCAACTTCGACTTCTTGTCTCTTACACTTTTAGCTGTTCTCGCCTGCTCGCCTTCTGCTGTTACTTCTGATCTCAACTATTGCTCTCACACACGATTTCAATAGGTTTTATTCGTCTCGCTACAGCTTCACATTAAACGACGCCCCACAATGGTGGGGGAGTCAGCAGCCAGAGGATTCACAGCTGCAAATTGGACTGTAGATCTCTAGAAAAATCTACAAAATTATCTTCTCAATATTTGTACCGGAAACGAAGGTTACAGCCAGATTTCAGTGAGTTTCGTCAAATGCTTGTGTCCCTCCTTTGATTCAAAAATCTCTGTTGGAGCTTGATATGATTTTATGGTCATTCAAAATTGGGTTTCTCTCGATTTCAGTTTCTGCCATTATGATGTTAGTATATTCTGTTTAATTCAATTTCAATGGTTTAAGATTTACCCTCTAATCGTGTACGAATGATTTAATTAATCTTTTCAGGAGTTTGTGGTTTAGGAGATTCAACAAATGTTGAGAAGCTTGCCGCTGTAATAAAAAGACCAGTGTAAGGATAATAAATTATCTTCTTCTTCATCTAATTTGAAAAGGATGTATTGAAACTAAAATTTTAAAGAATTTTAGATGATTTTATGTGAATTAGGGAAGTTGATATGATTTGATATTAAAATTATACGAAATCCCATCTAAACTAATAGGATTTGGTTTTCTATATTTTTAACTAACAAACTCCACCAAATCACTTAAAAGTACTCAATATTTTATAAAATCCACTATTTAAAATATTTTCAATAATAGTGGATTAGATTTGGTTTTTACAAATTCTTGATTGAATAACATGGATGTTGAAGTGATTTTAATTGGTTTTATATAAATTTTATGTTCAATAACATTAACTTTGGTAAGTTATTTAGAAATAATTAATTGAATAACATAGAATTTTTAAATAACCACAAAATCTTTTAAAATTTCTGTTTCAATACACCCCCAAATCTTATTTGGCTTTAAAATTCCTGGGTTTCTTTCGCAGGGAAATTTCAAACAATGGAAATTCATGTATTTGGTGAAACAGTAGACACTCGGCCTCTATAGATTAGTAAGCCAGTTTTGATTTTTAGAGTACGGTAAACAGCTTACATGTATTACTGATGATGATTTTATTGTTACGCTGCTTTTATTAATGCAAATTTTTCTGGTTTGATGAGTTTTCACGGAGTTATAACGTTCAATTTATTCACTTTCTTCTTTCAAAGAAGTCAAACCAAAAAAAAAATGAGTTACCTACTATGTTCGTTTCTTAGCTTCATATTGTTCCCTCAAATGTGGCAGATTCTAATGGGTAATGTATCATGGCATCGCTCCCTGTGATTTTAGGACTTAGATTAAAAAAGGCTGTAGTACAAGCTATTCAAAGAGGGATTTCTGATGAACTCTATAAGGTAATATTTTTTTATTGTTTATTGAATGTTTTCTGGCTTATAAGGCACTACAAACCAGTAGGGGATGTTTATTGTTTTTGCCAATCTTATTAGTTTTAAGGTGATATTCTTATTGATCTTCAGTAACAAATAACACATCTAAAATGGTAAGATAAATCTTCCATTGACTTTCATATATACTTCACAAACTAAAGATGGGTCTGAAGTGGGTTTCGCAGGAAATTTTGGAGCGCATCAGATATCAAGATATATTATTACAAGCTTTTCTAAAACAGTTAGAATTCTTCTATGTTAGACATTTTGATATGTTGTATCCCTGATTGATTGTTTATGATTTTGGTAAGTCTCTGGGATCTATTCATATATATGATTACATCTTGATACAACTTACATGAGTTTCATTTAGAAGTGTAAGCCATGTAGGATCGCGAAAATTCAGATTGAAAATCACGAAATGATTTAAATCAATAATAAACGACAATAATTTATAAAACGTTTTAAGGAAAGACGATACACGGAGTTTAGATATGATCTCTTTCCTTAATTTTTTAAATCTCTCGCAGTGTGGCAGTTTGATGAGATTCAGAATCCCAAGATACAACCGTGTTAAAATTAAAATCGCTGCACTCGACTTTAGAATCTGCGAACTTAAGAATATATGCTATACTCTCGAGACTTACCTAAAACTGTAGAGACGAGAGGGTTTTACTGGAATTTGTGTTTAAAAGCTTATTGCTTTTCTGGATGGAGAATAATGAATGAGAGAGATCCTTATTTATAGTAGAATAAAGGTTTGTGGTACAAGGAATTTTCCTTATTACTCACAGAAGACAAACAGAAATATTCCGAATATCTTTGTTCCTTGTTCAACAAGCTTAAGGAAAAAACGAAAATATTCCGAAAACCTTTATTCCTTGTTTGACAGAGAAAACAGAAATATTCCAAAAATCTTTATTCCTTATTTGACAAGGATAAGAGAAATGGAAATATTCCGTTAAATAATTCGACTCAATCAATAAATATTTATCGATATTACACAAAATTATAAATAGAATATTGACATTTTTATTAAATAATTCAATAAAGATTTATTCCAAAAAGAAATTCTTTTGTAGTTTTGCATAATAGTCCTCATACTTCCAATGTATGACAAATGCACATCTTGACTTTTAGTCTTGATTACATGTCCACTTTGACCATTGATTTATTATTCAAATTAACTTCGATTTTGACAAATAATTACACTGTCTATTAGTGCTCATTACAAAGATTTCTAAGAATCCATAATTTCCAAAATTTAAGTTCCAACAATCCCCACATGAATAAAAATTACTCTAAAACATATGCAGACTCTACTAACTCGAAAGACTATGCAGACACGCTAGGACTTGACACTATGAGAGTATAGGCAAAAAATTAACTTGTATGATATAGTAGCATATTTCAGCCTTAAACTATTCATTGTTGATATCTGTCGAGTTTACTTAGCCAGAAGGTGAACATGATGTCTTGAACCACCCGGATTTTTAAGTAAACTTAGACAACAGGTATAACCCAGTCTCATCTTCTCGTAGAACTAAGTTCTCTATTGTGTTCATTGTGGCCATGAACTTGCCTGGTTGTCATGAATGAACTTAGAGATATAGCATTGTCTTCATCCTCCTAGAAACGACCGCATTTCACACTCACTAGGTGATTTCTTTGAGCTCCTGACTTATACACAAGTATCCTGTTATACTCTATATTATGAACGCTACTCAAAATCATTATAAAATTTATCCTTTAATACTTACAGGGAGCATTGTACATCATTTTGGGAGATGAGCACAAATGTTATGTTTTTCAGTGCTTTCATCAGACTCTGTTCGACTTGGTTGTCCATTTGAACTTAGATCTTGGGATCTTCAATCACATAAGTGGGGTTTCCATCAAACATCCTCTTTAGTCATAGGCAATAAACCCATTCCTTTTGATGATTTCAATACTTGATCTCTATTTAAACCTTTAGTGAACGAATCCGCAAGGTTGTCAGCTGACTTGATGTAATTCGCAAGAAATGCCCTGTTTTCTTAACAAGAAATAGAAATTGCACTTCGTTCCAAGTTCATCAATCTTACAAGATTTTGTTACTTGGAGGTTACGTCTATCCGCTGCTACACCAACATGTCATTTAATTACTTGTTCATTTTCTTTGTAAAACTATGAAAGAGAAAATAATAATTTTTGATTTTTTTAATGTTTAGATACTCAAATTAAGTATTTTAGTATTGAAGATGGTCTAATATCTAAACTTACTTTTTAGAGAATAAAAAATTGTAGAAAAATTTAGAATGAAATTATTTGTTAGATTACGTAGAAATGGGAGGGTGACTGTTGCTTTTATAGCCATAGCATCAGCTTGATTTGGAAGAAGAGATCTGGCCAAAACATTAACAAGTAAGACCATCTCTAATGTATTCCTCTTTTTTTTTAAAAAAAATAGAGGAACTCTAAAATAAAGGTACATCCTTCTCCAATGTATTTCTCTATTTTTTCTCTCTAAAAATGAGTATTTTAAGAATATCCTCTTTATAATTTATTATTAGCACCTTCTTTTTATAAAATTCATATAGTACCCCATGTATATTAATTTTTACAAAAACTTCCATAAATTAAAGAAAAATATTAAACTTAAAAATTTATTTCATAAAAATATAACATTACAACATATAATAAAATAAAATATAACATATTTTAG